TTTCAGGGAGACGCATTCCTCTTCTGAGCAACTGTATGTGCTCTCGGCTGCTGACAACTCTTCTGAATGTCTCCACAGGCGAAGATTCCCCAAAGACCACAGAGATAGCCTGCCTGAGGGAAATCCGTCGCTAGAATGTACCGCGTATTTTGGCATCCTCCGAGGAAGCATCGAACGCATCTCTGAACTACCTATACAATGCAATCAAAATGTAATCATCAACGCGACGATGAAATCTAGAATGTTTCACGAACATTGTTATGTAAGAGCCTTGCTTGTGCATGGTCCAGAAGGGAAGTCCGCTCGTAAATATATATTTTGTCAAGCTGACAAATTGTAAATCCAAGGAGATTCATCCTATTCGGGGGGCGGACAAAAAAAATCGAAGGAATCTGCGCTCGGCAGAACTATGAGGTCCACTCCGCTGCCATCGGGATGGGCAACGCAAGTTTCGAAGCTTCGAATAAATTGTTAGGAATTTGTCCGACTGTAATCTCACCAGTCATCTCCTATCGGAATGTCGATTGCGTCAACCTCGAGAATTGTGCGGTCAATATGCTGTCATGAAGAGGGGCTTGCTCCAGGAACTGTGGCTTGGAATCTTCTTCGATTTTCAATGAGAACCCCGTTTTCAACGCCTTTTCTGATTGCTTTCCAGTTGTCGCGGCGCCCCAGCCTCCCATGTTCTCGACTTCAGACTTGAGATGCGCGCAATAGACCGCACTCCCGCCAAGCTTCCAATCGAAGCCGAGTGGATAGATTCACTTTCCAAATATTCGAACCATCAACAGTACCAATGCAGTATCGAGGCGATGCGGCTATTCCGCTTCTTTGAACCAGAATTCGAGGCAGGTTCCGCAGGAAATAGGCTCTCTCGTCTACTCACACTCACTACGATCCTCTGGGCGGAACCATTTGGGGAATGCGGTGGCCGCAAGTTGTCTGTGATAGAAGCCTCCGAGCGAAGACCGATGAGACATCGGGGAAGCCTCGCATACTCTAAACTATCGTCGCGAACCTCTTTGCTCTGACCGGATCCCCAGAGTGCCCAGCTCATCGATCGATCGAACCAGCGATTTCGTGATTCGATTTTTTTCGGAACTGTGGATATTCTGGACACGACAGCTTCTCAAAGTTGCTCCACCTCTCTAGAAACAGACCACAGATAGTCGTTATTCCCGATTCCTTCCGAAGTGAACTCCGCGATGCTTCACTTGAAAGAATCCGGTTTCCTATTTCCGATTGCTCAACTCTCTAGTCGAGTCAAAGTTCCTAATCGCCGTTCCCACATGGCTCCCACACGAAGCCAAACATTTGTCTCTAGTCGAGTTTGTACAGTCGTATTTCCTCCTCATCAGAGGATTCGAAGAACGATCCGGTATTAGAGTTCCCTTCGATGGGCATCCCCAATCGCAAGGCATGACTTGCCACCCAAGTTCGCAATAGCCGCATCATCAACCTGCTCTTACACGCTTGATGGAAAAAATTTGGGAATCGAGGAGGAATTCTATTTTCGGTTTATCTTCACAGAAATTACAGGGCAAATCTTACAATTGTGTCGAAATTCATATCTATCATCGAGCAGCTGTCGGTTAAATGATCCTCATCGACATCTGGCTGCTCTCACCAGCCCTCCGGGCTTGACAATCCGATAAAGTCGTCGGAGTAACATAATCTTCGGCCCGGAAAGATTTGGTGCATGTGCCGCGAATGGATATGGTCCATTATCGGACATCCCGGGCCCATGTAAACGCCGCTGAAGAATCGAGTCAGCATATCACTCAACAAGGGGTTGATGACGAGGGTCGTCGCCGGCGGTCCATGGATGTGCAGGACTTCCAGACGCGGCAAAATCTCCGGCAAATTTAGTTCCATTTCCGAAAGAGAACTCGGTACCTCATGGAGCCACAAGCAAAGCTGCTTGAGCTTTTCCGCTCTGCCGAGCGCTCTCCAAACGAACGCCGAGTTCAAATCCACCCACTCGACCGTGAGTTTGAAGTCCTCGAGGTTTTTGCAGTTCCCTATAAAGCGCCGCAAGCCTGTAATATCGCTTGCGCAGCTCAGTTTCAATCTCACAGTACGGACTGTTCGATTGCTGAGCTTCTCTAAGGCTGAAGCAGCCACCTTGATCTCAGACAGAGTCAGCTCCCTCAGGTTTTCCAGGAGCCTGAGATCAGGAACGTTCTCCCGGAGAAACTTTTTCGCGCAATGCGAACAGTCACTGGAGGCGCGGGAGCTCCGACGTCGAAGTCCGATGATTCGTGCGTTGCCCCTGACGACGAGCTTGGCGATCTTCGACTGGCGAAAGATTCGCTCGAGACGCTCTGACTCCGTGTCAGAGCGCGCGATTCGCAGAAGGCAGGCGGAGATGCCCAGACTCTTGATCGATTTGCAGGACGCGAAGAAGTCTAGCGGGTAAAGTAGACCGTCGTGGTGGACGTCGATCAGGTCCACCGCTACCAGGGTCGGGAGCTTGGGGATTATTTGCTGAAGGAGAAGCGTCGCCCTCAACTCGCTGCCCGAGAAACCGAGGCGAACTTCCAGCGGGTTGTTCCACGCGCGGCTCGAAGATTCCAAGTTCTCCTCGTTGCTCAGGGAAAAATGAGCGATCCGTTGGATTGCACTCGATGGGTCGCGGGGAGCCTCTCCGTTCAGCCAACCCTTTTCGTAAATGTAGCATTCCTTATCCTCCTCGATCCACTTCTTCATGCGTTCATCGACCTTGTCGGCGAAAATTCGCTGTAGGAGCGTCCGGTGGAACGAGATGCAGTCGGACATGCTCAGCGTGATGATGATGGTGTCGAGAGTGTCCGCGACTTGTTCAAGTGGATCCGTGTCGAACCGTCCACTCCATTGCGGCAGAACTTCCTCCCCGATGATGTTGACGCTCAATCTTTGGAGGTTCGGGCACTTCCGCACGAGTTCCAGTAAACCCTCTAAAGGTTCCTCCGTCGGCGACACTTCTACCTGGAGCTTCCTGATCGAGGCATACGTCGACGTGCCCTCTGGCGGGATCCCTAGGTCAGCCGAGCTATCCCCCGTCTGATCCAACATTGAGAAACAGAGAGCTTCCAGCTCTTTGAGCTCTTCCAGTACATCCCAAACAGCCGGGAAGGTGAGTGAGGTGTTTTGAAGATTCAAACTCTGGAGCCCGGGACACATATTCAACGCTTCACGAATTTCGGCCGGGCTCGCCATGCAATTGGTGAGGTCCAACGATCGCACCAGGTGTCCGAAATCCTCCACGTATTTCCATGCGGGCTCCGTTAGAATCTCGATCCTGGTCGAGTGCAAAAAATCTCTAGCCACGGCATCAAGCCGCGGGCTCATGGAAGAGACATGAGCCAGGGATTCTGCGTCCATGCGGCGCAGCACCTTCCGGAGTATCTCGTTGGGCAGGCTCAACAGCGACATTTTCGAGCCGAAGGGCGGAGGGTGTCTTCAACAGGAAGAATGAACTGCAGAAATCCTTAGTCGAGACGATCGCTACAACGAACCGAGACCGAGTGGTGTCTACTCGAGATCTCGGCCTAAATTTATGCGCCTCGAGGGGCGTGCTTCTTCTCGATCCGGAGAGGAGGAATTCACCCGCAGAATCTGCTGAAGCGGTTCGCACATGGTGTCGCGTTTGAAGGGGGATCGCTGAATTCGGGGGAGAGGGCGATTACACAAAGCGGAGCCGCGGAGTCGCCCATCGTTTCGGAATCCGAGGCGAGAATTCTTGCTCAATCTACGGCCTCTCCGAGGAGGAATGCCATCAAATCGTCTTCGTCTCCTCCGTTTCACGGGAACGATGAATTTCTCTTATGAACTCCTGAAAATCCTCTGTTCTACTCGGAGTATACACAGTATGATGTATAATCATTCCCGATCCCCCATTGGGAACGATTCCCTGAAGACAATATGCGTTGCGAGCCCGGGAAAGTTCGTGATTAGAACGTCGAGAAATGAACATAATCCGCTGACGCATAGACGAGGCGCGTTTTAAGTCGAGTCTACAGCCGGGCAATTAGTGCTCAGGGGGTAGTGCCTCTCCCAGAAGATGATGCCCGAAGACTCTCTATCAAGTCTCTGTGGACTGCTTTCGGCATCGTAGCGTAAAGCGTCGAATAAACCTAATGATTGTCAATGGAGTAAAGAATCGATAACGTTTCCTATCGACGATCAGGGGGCATCACGGCTCCTAGAAGATGGACCAATCCCCTTCCCACTGCCGCGGAGCTGCTGACTGCGGGAAGGAAGAATGAAGGCAACGGAGTTCGAGAATTCGCCCTCGACTAGGAAGTCTTCGATTGTTTCCAAACGGTTATCCGCGACTAATTGAACGATAGGTAGTCGAGATTAAGGAGTGAGCAGCACGAGCCGATCACTCTTCCAAGTAACAATAATCAGTGGGGTAAGGGTCCGATCATCCTAGTGAAGTTATTACAGATCGCGAATCAGGTATCCGCAATATGTTCTGGGACGCTAGCACATGAAGTGTATGCTGACATCTTGTGATTTGGGAACGCACCTGACGCGGTCGGACGATAAGAATCCCACGGCCGTTTTGTCGTAAGCATTATATATGCGCATCGTGTGCTCCATGTGTAGGCTCTTTCCCGCGATTCTAGGGGCAGCCGTGACATCTCTCCGCAACTTCCGCGGGCTCGGCATTCAGAACCTTTAACAAGCTGCCTGCTGGACCGAGTTTTCGCTGAACATTCTCCATGCGGATGTTTGTAGAAATTTTAGAACTCCCCAGAAAGAATTTTTGTATGATGCCCGAATTCCTGTCAATCTCCTCATGCTTTGAATTCGTCATGGGTTTATAAGTGCATTTCGACTGTCCGCCCTCGGGCGGGAGAGACCGGATCTTCTCCGGAATGAGCTGCCGTCGACTAGCGCGGATTCCGCTCCCCCATAGAGGAATCTGCTCCGATTCTCCTCCTGCGGCGTTCAACATGAGGATTTTGGCCACGCGGAACGATTGGAAAATTTGATTCTGCCGAGAGCGAAGAGATTTCTTGTACCCACATCATCCTCATGCACGAGCTCATCATCTCATCATTCATCATCTCTGCGTATCAGTCAGTCAGTAGAAGGCTGAAACATGACCAGCATCTCAATGCCACTATGCAGCCTTGGCAACGTGCGAGCAAGTGTTGCCGGCGACTACGGACTTGAGCTGGATCAAGACCAGGAAGTAGTTGAAGAAGAAGGCGACGAGCTGAAAATAACTCTCGTGAGAGAACTGAATCATCTTCGATGACCGAGGCGTCTTGGATGGTTCGCCCGGGAGCTCATTCTATTGCGAGAATGATCCCGAGGGAATCGCCTACTTCAGAGGACGTCAAGCGCACCTAGTCAGTTGGTAAAGGCCATGCTGGGGCAGCGAAGCTTATCGATTCGTTCCCTTATTGAAAGACCGATCGCCTGCCCCACTCTCGATTCCTGGCCGTACACCGGTCTATCGAGCTCTATCAATGGTGATGTCCGGAAGTTCCCTATCATGTCCCATAATTCATTCATAATGATGGCTCCATGGGCGCTCTTACTCACTTCCATGACGAGACGAGGCTGGAACCGGAAAATGCGTAAGGCCGTGGCGGGATGTTGAATTCGCCGTAGGAGTCTTTCGACTTTCCTCACAGTGTAATCCGATGCGTGATCAAGACTTTTACATCCTACAGAATACCGCAACTGCTTCAACTGGGAATCAAAGCAGTATCACTTCGAGGCGATGGGAATCGTCTGTTATCCATGAATAAGCGCAATCACTCAGTCAGAGTACCGGGACGCACCTGCAGTTCGATCACGTAACTCAAAGTCAGGACGATGCTCAACCACACGCAATACATCAAGGATGTGAGAATAAAACGTTCATCGACTTCACTGTCGACGGAGTCGTCGACTACGGTTTCTAGCAGGAGAATCAAGAGGGAGCATATAATGGCGGGCATCAGAATCGCCAGAAGGGGCGACATCGCTGCGGAGAAAGTCGAGAGTATCTCGTCCAATGTCTCGATGATCTCCTAACGAGGAATTCGTATAGGATAAGGAATTTGCCGTCTCTGATAGAACCAAGAGCTTGAGGACCTTGCCGCGGCTACTGACCTGAAAATCAGCCCTATCCCAAATCGCGATAGCGTTGCTCTGACGGGCTCGCGGAAGATATCTGAGGATGTCGACGAGACTCCCGTAGACGGCAGTCATCAATGATAGGACAACCAAGAGGAAGAAATCCATTAAACCGTTGTGTATAGGGTACGCAAGCAATGTGGAGAGACCGACGTTTGCACGATCTCTCGCTATGAAATCGTACGTGGTTTTAGCCACCGAAACCAGGAATAGTAATTGAGCCACAACGGCTCCGAGCACAGAGAGCACCGAAATCTTTTGTCGAGGGCAATCCAGACTGCAAGGAATATTAGCCATGTGTGATTTCGCGGTGGGCTCTGGATCCGACCAATCGGGCCATATTCGATGCTTACCTCAACCAGAGCTGCTGAATCATATTAAAAACTCTGGCGATGAGCTCCCGGCGATAATCGAGTCCAACCATCAGCGTCGCGACCAATAAATCGGATGACAGGCTCGTCATCAGAAGGAAAGTTTCCAATTCATAGTAGATGGGATTTAATTCTGCAGGTGCCGCGTCCGTCCAATCGGGCTCCACGAAATTGATTGCGCTGGCGATCCACATGTACACCGCCATCAAGTACCTCAAGATGGAGAATGAATTCCCGGAAGGTCTGAATTGGCCTCCGCTCCATTTGATGGGATGAACTCCGAAGAGGTGAAGGACAAAAAACAACTCGCCGCACCACGGTATGCATCTTGGCACTGCTCGCATCCTAGGCGATCTCAGAATATTTTGAGACAAGTCCCTCACTCCGACTTCCAGACCCTGCAATGCGGGGAATTCATTCGACATCGATCTACGAGATTCCAGTGCGGTCAAGATCTGTGAGAATTTCTGAGCGATCGGAAGTTGCACCTGACGAGTTATTTGCGTTTTGCTCAAATCGGAGAGATTACGATCGATATCCGGACTCAGCCTACGACGAGCTCTTGACCTTTGCAGGTGGCTAAGCGGCTCAACTCTTTTCCCCTCAAGTCATTCCCCTTGGCGGAGCCGAGCGAGATGCCATTTTCATGGTCTCAAGGACAGGCAGTCAATACGATGGCTTTCAATTGTACTAACACCATGAAGTAATTCACGAGAAATGCCATCAGCTGTAAGGGGAGAACGAGATCATTTGCGGTATGGACTGTGCGAGAATTATCTTCCGCTGAGTCGTCGGGGATCGGCCTACAGTAGCCCCTGAGAATGATTCACGAATTCGGTACCGTTAGAAAGAATCGGACGTCGAAGCGGAGCATCCCCATCACGAACGGTGGATGAGGAATGTGCCGCAGCGTCCATTCGATTCTATCGACCTCGCGTCTTTCAAAGAATCCATAGTGTCCGATTCTGAGCGAGAATCGGAACTGCGTCAGCTGCGAACAAGCATGCGCGCCTTAGCCCTAGACTGAAAGACTGGACTCAGCAGGCTCGAATCATCGATCAGTGTAGCGAAGACCCGGCTCACCTGCTTGTCCAAATCGTAGCAGGACAGAAGCGCTGCGAAAACAAACAGGACGGTCATCGCCGTATCCGCGATGCGACGTAGATCCGTGAAGCCTTCCTCGATCTCCGCGTTCGCCGGTACGATCCCTACCATCATTTCGATCAAAATGCTCACGGTACTGGTCGTGAGCACTACGGTTAGGCAAGGAGAAATCACTCTCGAGAACGTCGTCAGGATCTCGTGGAGGAGCTCGCCGATTCTCTGCGGAGAGATTCAATATTCGATTTGTACGACTGCATCGGAAATGATTCCCCTAAATGTTTGCGGAGGCTTACCAGCATTTCATTCCGTCTCCATGAGTCGAAGATATGCTGTCTGCTTTGGGGGAGCTTGCGCAGCATCGCCGAGAGCGAGGTGTAAACTGCTACGATCATCGCACAGACGACAATTGGTAAGGATCGCAGGGGTCCTTCGCATAGAACAAACACAATGAGCCCAGGAACGGGCATGCCGTTCTCAAAATGTTCGACAAGGATGCTAAACGAGAGACCGAGAAGAGCCAGACTGACGATAACCACAAGGGAACTGCCGACGAAGGATACCACAGGATCGACTAGTCGAGGGTATTTCATCCTGGAACATGATGCGGAACACGGTCATAAGGCTCGTTCCTTCCAGTGCTAAAGTATAGCAGAGGACCGCCGTTTGGGAGCCTGGGCTCAAATCCGAGATGGACCGCAGCCCCCCTCTCCGGGAAAAAGATTCTGCTTACGAGCCTGTGTACGGTAAAGTTTTTAGACCAAGGGTTCCCAAAGTCCTCGAAGGCCCCTCCTTCCCATGTATTCTCAACTCCAGATCCGA